GGAGCCTGTGTTCATCAGCCCCCTTCTGCTCTTCGCTGTGTCTCCCGGGGAAAATCCTACCCCCGCCCACTTCCCCCCTCCCCTCCGAGTTCCCCTCTCTCGTCTGTGCAGGCAGATCTGGTGACCATTGCTAGGCAACGCGTCATCATAAATATTTCATGGGTGAAAGAAAGTCTGTCTCAGAGAAGCCTTCCTTTGTTCTAGTACTTCAGCCCTCCTTTAGGAAAACAATAGGAAAAAAATAATAGAAACCCGCTCCCTGTATGTTCCCTGACACCCATGATGAGCAGCTGGTGACAGAGGCGAAGTGGGAAAGTTAAAATCCAGGCGGTGCCAATAAGTCAATTAGAAGATAATAATGGGGGAAAGATCTCATTCATAACGTTGTCTTAGTCGGCTTGGGCTGCTCTAACACAGCGCCATAGACGGCATTCACTTCTCATTTATTTCAGGGTCTGAAAACCAGGAAAAGGGCTGGAAGGTTCCACTCCTGGCGGGAACCCTGTCTCTGGCTTGGAGATGACGGTCTTCTGACTTAGCCCTCGTGTGTGGAGGAGACAGGAAGCTCTGTGGTCTCTCCTTCTTATAAGGGCACTGACCCCATTATGGGACTCCTCTCCCCGTCAAGACCTCATCTACACCTAAGCACCTCCCAAAGACCCCGCCTTCCAGTACCATCACACTGGGGGGTAAGGCTTCAACATAGGAATTTTTTTTTGGGGGGGGGGAGGAGTGTGGGGAGAGGACAAGCATTCAGTTTAACAACTGTCAACCAAAAATTTCAAATGATGCTCAGCAGTGATACGTTGGTACATTATTTTTTAAAAAACTATATATATAAAAGCCTAAGCGACTGGCCAACCGTCCAGTAGCTATGATGTGCACTGACCACCAGGGGGCAGACACTTCAATGCAGGAGCTGCAGAGCGACAGCAACTTTACAGAGTGCCCTCCGCAATCTGGGACCCCTTGGGGGATGTTGGAAAGCTGGTTTCAGCCCGATCCCCGCAGGCCGCCAGAGGGACCCCTGCTCACTCTGCAGATGCCCTTTGAGCACCAGCGCTGACCCAGGTGTGGCTGGCCAGGGAGGGACTGTGGGAGGTTGGCTCCAGGACATGTCTGGCCCGTCTCACCCAGTCCTGCCCTGCCAGCCACCTTCTAATTAATTTCCTTTCAATGTGCATGAATCCATGCATTGGGCATCTAGTTTATATATATTATTTTTGATAGTATTACAGGTGTCTCCCATTTCTCCCCTCTTCCCAGCCGCTACCCACCCCTCACCCGAGGTCTTCACCATCCTAAGCCCGTGTCCATGGGCTATGCTATAAGTATATGAGTTCTTTGGTTCATCTCTTCTCGTCCCCCCAAGCTTACATCGAGGTATGTCAGTCTGTTCCATGCCTCCGTGCTTGTATATAACATGATCTCAATTTGTTTTAAAAAGATAGATAGACATCTGGATACAGGTATGAGTGTAGAGAGGGAGACAGATAAAAGGGTATTTAAAAAGATGTACAAGGTGATAAGAGTAGTTACCTGTAGTGGTTATTTTATGATATTTTCCTTTTTCATTTGGACTTCCTAATTTTCCTTCACTGAAAGTAGATTAACTGTGCAATTTTTCAAGTGCAAAGAAAAAAATTAAGTATTCAATAGATTAAAGACAGAAGACGCGCAAGACAGCTCATTAAAAGGAAGATTTCTATTTCATAATCAATAGCCTCTTGACTTTCCTCGGGTTTTATAACTGGCGGCAATATTCTTGTTTGTCCCCCTGGTTATAGCCATTTTTACAACTATCGATCCATTCGAAGAGGGGCCTGGCTCCCGCATATGCAGATAAACATGTTTTTCTTCGCTTTAATGGTGTATCTCCCAGAGGCCAATGAGAGAGGCCGGTACTCAGTAACAGCTTGCTTTTGTTGTACAGAAACACTGAGGGTGCCATTTCCATGATACTACTGATGCTGCCATTACGAAACACCCAGCAGAAGACAGCGCTGCTGAGAAAATGAGCCCTTTCCATCACCTTCCCTTCACCCACGGACGTGCAGGTCATAATCTCGCTCTTCAGGTGCAGAGTCCTTCTCTTATGTTCTCTGCCAAGGTCATTACACCCTAGTCCTCTGAGATACAACTTCCAGAAAACTTCCCCACGGGACACAGGTCATGGCAATGTCCCCCTGGGGAGGTCGGGTCTCCCTCATGGATGGAGATGACGGATCTCAGCCAATGGTTCGGTGCCTACGTAGGCCCCGCAGCAATGCCCCAACGCGCCTCGGAATAAAAACGCCCGCCTGGCTCGGTGCCCCGTGAAAGCTCCTGCTAGAAAGAGCACTTCGGAGAGCCAACGCATCGAGGGGACTGCAACAGGGCAGGCACCCAGCAAAGGCCACAGGAACGTGCCAGGAGACGTGGGGCGGGAGCGAGGGAAGACGGGCAGGAAATTAGCAGAGAGATGCCCCAAACTTGGTGGCTCTCCATCGGTGCCCAAGAACAAGGAGGTGGAGTGAAAATCAATAACTCGCTTCCTGATGGTGCGGGGCTGACTCGCAAAACTATCAGAGTCCAGAGAAGAAACCAGCGTATCCCAGAATCACACGGGAACCTCTGCCGGCGAATACACTGACAGGTGGCCCAGCGACCACCAACCAGGTTGGTTAAAACAAGGCAGGTGACATCCCTCATTTGTCCCTGAGCTGAGGTGGCTCTAGAACCTGGAGCTGATGGACACGGAGAGCAGAAATGACAAAAGAACAGATTGGGAGGTGTGACAACTTAAAATGTAACCCTCCTACGTAGCAAAAAATCTACAGGAACAAAATTAAAAGGCAAATCCAGACAAGACTTGGGATGCACAAAGCTGCCTTTCATCACTTTATTTATTCTCGTGAAAAACTGGCGACAACCTAATCATCCAACGATCGCCTTTGAAAAAAAAGGGAGTTCTGAGGACCCGTAAATGTGAAAGCGCTCACAGATGCACCCAGCTAAGTAATCAAAACGGAACATGGCATTTTGAAAATATAGGATGATTTTGTCTATGCAGTAAGAAAATGCTATGCCTAAGAAAATCTAAAAAAATTTTTTAAAGGTTTGTTACTTCTTCTTTCCTTGGTTAATATGTTATCAGCCCCAAGCTGAATCTGATGTGGAAATGGTCTGGTTCTGCCGGCTGGTGTGGCTCAGTGGTTGAGCGTCGACCTATGAACCAGGAGGTCACGGTTCGATTCCCTGTCAGGGCACATGCCCGGGCTGTGGGCTCCATCCCCAGTAGGGGGCGTGCAGCAGGCAGCCGATCCATGATTCTTTCTCATCATGGAGGTTTCTGTCTCTCTCTCCCTCTCCCTTCCTCTCTGAAATCAATTTTTTTAAAAAAAGAAAAGAGAAATAGTCTTGTTTTTAGATCATTTTATCCCTGGACCACACATGGCCCAGCCACCTCGGAGCAGTTCTGTGCCAAAGCCACTCCCACCCCGTCTAGCGCTGGTGCTTTGGGAGCCTCTATTCCAGAAACGCTAGGGGTTGTCCTGTTCTGACAAGAGCCATCGGGGCTGGGTGGCAGCGTCTGTGCCATCGGACGTCAGCCTGATGCACGTGGGCCCCAGAGGTGCGCATACTGCAGGCGTCCTGGGCTCACTCCCAGGTAACAAGGGGTGGCTGCCCCCCCTCAGCTCAGCAGACGACGAGGGTTCATTCACGGGGAGCGGGAGGGGAGGGCTGTCATCCCTGGGCTGCTCAGAACGAATACGGTTCTGGGGCTGAGAGAGGAGTTAGGTTTGCGGTTAACCTTTCAAAGCAGGAAAAAAATAGACGGGAACGGAGGTTGAGGTCTCCAGTTAGTGGTTTTTTAAATATCTGTCAGATTTAATTAAATCATCGCAAATGCCTTGAAAGGGCTCTGTGTGGCTGTCCTCCACGGTCGGAGGGACCGGATCCAAGAGGCAGCCGGGCTTTGGGGGCATGCCAGCTTCTGTCCTTTCCCAGGAAAGAACGCACAGGGCAGCCCGGAGCGCGCGGCATCATGTGGGCCCAGGAGGCCGGCAGAGACAGGGCTGGCGTCGGGGCCTGAGGCTCGGCCGGAGCAGGAACCCTGCCAGCAAGTCTGACGCCATGTCCTTCTGTCCTGAGCTGGCCTGGACTCTGTCCGCAGTGTGGCCTCTGCCTGTATGCACTGCGTTCCTTTCCCCTCATTCCCCACAGCACCCGAGGCACTAACCAGGGCTTAAGCCCCATTCTCTCCTTCAAGAGGCACCCATGGAAGGAGAAGCCCCTCTCTCGGTAAGAATATGTATCATTATATATCAAATAAGAGAGGTAAGCCCTGGCTGGGGGCTCAGTGGTTAGAGCATGGCTCACAGACCAAAGGGAACTGTGTTCGATTCCTGGGTAAAGGGCATGTGCCTCGGTTGCAGGTTTGATCCCCAGCCCTGGTCGGGGGCACGTGCTGGAGGCAACCAATCGATGTGTCTCTCTCACATCGATGTTCCTCTCTCTCTCTATCTCTCTCTGTCCTCCTCCTCCTCCCTCCTCTCCTCCCTCCCACTCTCTCTAAAAATCAGTAAGAAAAATATTTCTCAGTGAGTTTGAAAAATAATAATGATGTAGGTTAAATGATCATGAGAAAACACTTATTCGTGAGACAGACACTTGACATAGTTACAAAATACAAGTCAAAATTGAAGTGCAAAGCAGTGCGTGGTACTCAATCCTGTTGTTCACCTGACACTCCTGTCCCCCTGCCCCCATTCCGGGCATGCCTGCAGGGGCCTCCCACACCCACGGTGCCCCCCTCTTCCCTCAGAGCCCGGGGGCAGAGAGCAGAAGCAGAGCTCTCTGGCGGGGTAGGGGAGGTCTAAAGGGGCCTCTCCATCGCCATCACTGACGCCGGCTTGGAGTGAGCCTGGAAAAGGCCGTGATGGTGCTCAAAGCCTCTCCGCTCGCTGCGTGGATGAGCTGCCCTGCAGCCGGCCCACTGAAGGGGCCACTTCACGGCCATGGACATGAGCCTGAAGCAGACCGTGTCCTATAAAAGCTCCGTGACGAGTGAGGCCGTGTACAGCTCTCCTAGCGGGAGGTTGGGACTAGGTACCAACCACAATGGCCTAGCCCAGTGGTCGGCAAACTCATTAGCCAACAGAGCCAAATAGCAACAGTACGACGATTGAAATTTCTTTTGAGAGCCAAATTTTTTAAACTTAAACTATATAGGTAGGTCCATTGTTATTAAATTAATTAGGGTACTCCTAAGGCTTAGGAAGAGCCACACTCAAGGGGCCAAAGAGCCGCATGTGGCTCGCGAGCCGCAGTTTGCCGACCACGGGCCTCACCAAACCAAGCGTTATTTTCCCCTAACGAGGAGCCCAGGGAGGCGGCCCAGAAGGGGCGCAGCAGCCCAAGGTGGAGTTTCCCCTTTGTTCTTTCTTCAAAGAACTTTCTATTTTTGTTTTCCACTTTGAGATATTCGTGGTTGGATCAGGGAGCTGTTTGGGGGTGTCTCCTCGGTGCCCAGCGCTTACAGGGGCACAGGTACAGGCACGGGTGGGTTCTGGAGCCCCGCCTGCCAGGGCCGGGTGATGCGGAGGGCACACCGCTCATGCCCTGCTCATCGCTCTGTTTCCTTAGGCAGCGGCATTTTTCATAAAAACCCAATTCTGTTTCGGCCGTCACCCTCCACCTCCCACCGACACAAGCTGCTTTTTACCAACAACCATTTCAAAATTGATCTTTGAAATGACTCCTCACTTAAACCAGCTTCGGTTTGAAAGGGTAAGAAAATGTCTATGACTCACTTAGACGAAAAGAAGGCGCCCATTAACTGTGCCGGAGACGAGCAGCGTCAACTGCCTAAAAACTGCACAGGCTGCAGGCGCTTGCACCGGACAGCCCGCCTCTCAGGTTTCATCTTGGTGTGTCACTCCTCCCCAAACTCATCTTTTTTCTTAAATACACTTTTTATTAATTTCAGAGAGGAAGGGAGAGGGAGAGAGAGAGATAGAGACATCAATGATGAGAGGAAATCATTGATTGCCTGCACGCCCCCTACTGGGGATTGAGTCCCCAACCCAGGCATGTGCTCATGACCGGAATCGAACCTGGGACCCTTCGGTCTGCAGGTCGACGCTCTACCCACTGAGCAAAACCAGCTAGCACCCCAAACTAATCTTTAGTGGCTCTCCATTGCGTAAAATCTCAAATCTCAAACAGTAATCTAACTGAGCAAAACCAGCTAGCGCCCCAAACTAATCTTTAGTGGCTCTCCATGGCGTAAAATCTCAAATCTCAAACAGTAATCTAACTTGCTGTGGAAAGACATGTGAACTTTAAGGGTTAAAAAGACAGAGAGAAAAGAGAGCAGGTAGAATACAAGTTTGCAGAAGCCAGGCATAAA